GTAAAGGTTAAGGGGTAAAAGGGTTTAAGGGGGGTTTGGGGGTACGGAGTTACTTACTTAATTTAAGGTAGGTACGTACGTAGTTCGTTACGGGTTTACGGTTTCGTCGTCCTCTCTCTCTCTCTCTCTCTCTCTCTAACTCTCATTCAAGGGGTTTCTATCTCTAAACAAGGGCCTTCTCTCGCCAACATACCAATTTGGACAAAATTTTAATCACATGGTTACGAGTGTGCTTAAAAAACCTCTAAGCCCAACAAATTTTTTTTTTTAAACACCTCCAAGCCATCCGATCAGACATCCAATGGATGGGATCAGTTGTGACCTCTTTTTATTAAAAATAAATAAATAAAATTTATATAAAATTACAACTTTAAATTGAGAGAAAATTACATACATATCCGTTATACTTTGCGTCATTACGGATGTACTACATGTATGTCTGTTGTTTACTTTTTTATAACGTATTTTTTAAAAAAAAATGATGTACCTTTTTTCGGATGTTGAACAACAGAATTGAAGGGTTTCGTAAATGTTCAACATCCGAAAATAGGCCGAAAGTTTAACGTTTGCATTCCCATTTTCGGGTGTTGAACATCCGAATTTAATGACTTTTCGAAAGTTCAACATCCGAAAATAGCCCAAAAGTTAAATGCTTATATTCGCATTTTCGGTCGTTGAATAGTCACATTTTACAGTCACATTTTCGGATGTTGAACATTCGAAAATGCCATATTTTAGAATTTTCATCATCTAAAAATGTGATATTTTCGGATGTCCAACAATTGAAACCATTTTCGGATATTCAACACTTGAAAATGGTAATGTGAACGTTAAACTTTCGGCCTATTTTCGAATGTTCAACATCCGAAAAATGGTAAAGTCGTCTTTTTAAAAAAAATATGTTAGAAAAGGTGAAAAACGGACATACATGTAATAACAGAAACTATTTGGTACATCTGTAATAATGTAAAGTATAACGGATATGTATGTAATTTCTCTTAAATTAAATATGTACCTAAAAAAACAATAAAGGTAGTTTTAATGTTGAAAAACTCTCTAAATAAATTTTTGAACCCCAAAAATAATGCATGTTGTAACACTATCTATATCGTTCATTTTCAAGATTTTCATATATTTGTAGATCTACTTGATTTTTGCCATTTTTAGAGTATGAAATTTTATAACCAGAAATGAAAATAGATTTTGAGATAATCCTAATAATTTTTACACTAAAATTACATATTACATTAAAATTTGCAGGTGTGCTTTGATTGGATTGTTTAAGGTTGCAATCTTATAAAACACCCAAAATATATAATATATATACATATAATTAAAATTTATAAAAATATTTTTTTAAAAAAAAATATCACCTTAGCCATTAAGTTTAACTTCTCTATCTCTTTTTACCCGAGGATGAAAAATATTACTTGGAAGCAAAGAACCTCCGGTCTTCCCTAAATCCCTTTTGAGATGAATTTTTTACCCCAATAAAAATTAAAATGGCACCATCACTACCCACCTTCTCTACCGTCTGCGATGATGTTGGTAACCTCACTCAGCCACACCATGACCCTGCAACCACTTCCCCTTCCCCTTCCCTCCTATGTCCTCATCTTCTCCACCTGCAACTAGCCACCACCTTAATTCCCCCTTTCTCCTCCATGCAACCAGTAAGCCACCATTTCTACCTCCTCTCTCCACCCTACTCTCCCATATCACCTCGCCACCCTCTCTCTCTCTAGAAAACACCCAACATAGTCACCCCGACATCCTCTATATCTCTCTCGTTCTCTTTCTCACCACGCCTGCCCAATAGCAGATCTCTCGCTCTCATCGTGCTTGCTAAATGGTTGATTTCCTCTTGTAAAATAAGCGGCTCCTCTCTCTTCCACTCCCATCCATCCCTCTTACGCCCCTATCTCTTTGCTACAACCCTTTCTCTCTCTTTGTTGCCACCCTCTTTCCCTGCTGCAATCTCCCCATCTCGCCCCCACTGTGTTCCCCCTATCTCCTTCTTACCTGCAACCTGAGGCCACCGCTCGTCCCACTCCCCCTCTTCTTTTGTCTGTGCCCAAAACAGACGGCAACCTAAGGCTGCCACCCCTTTTCTCCCTTGCTCCATCTTTTCTCTCCCTCTCCTATGCCCACACAGCAGCTACCTACCATGCCTTCTCCCTCTCTCGGCCTTCCCACCACCCACAAACAGGCGGCAACCTGAGACCACCGCCACCATCTCATACCACCTTTCCTCCTCTTTCCCTTACCCTCTTCTGATGCCCCGACCTTCTCAAGCCACCTCCCTATACTTCTCCGCCCCACCTTGCTGCTCTCTCTCTCTAGAATCCCAATAGCAATCCCTCCCTCTCTATTTTAATTTGTCTCATATTGTCGCCTTTCCCTTCTTTTCTCAATCTCTCATGCTCTCCAACACATTTATAAGCACCCCTTTGCAACCTCCCTCTCTTGCTCTAAAAAAAAAAAACCCACAATCGAAGCATTTGCAAGATAGAATGTCATTTTAATTTTTATTGGGGTAAAAAATTCATCCCAAAAATGATTCAGGGGATTACAAGATAGAAAAAATGGAGGTCATTTGCTTCCAAGAAATATTTTTCATCTTTTGGTCCAAAGAGATAGAGAGGTTAAAATTAGGGGGTAAGGAGATATTTTCCGTTTTTAAAATCCCAATAAGACTATTTACTTTGAATGCATATATTATGCTCCCTTTGGAGCATAGTTTATTCGTACTCGCTCAATCAGATAACCTACTCGGGAGGATTTTTTCAATATGAATTTTGGTAGCCTCCTTAGAATCACGAGATGATTATTCTCAAAAAAACAAATTAAAGTTTGAGTTTTCTAACACGTAGATCTAATACTTTGATAGTTTTTATTCAATCTTGAGACTTTGTTTTTTTTTTTTAAGTGCTTGGAGGGTGTAGTTACTTTTTTTTTTACCGAGGTTAATCTATGTGTTAAAGAGGTTATATCCCCAAAATTTAGGGTCTTAAAACTAATAAATAGACAATATACTCTTAATGATGAAGTAGAATATCTTTTTGCGTTTACTTTTAGATTTAAATCTTGTCTTAATTTTACAAATTGAAATAAAGATAATATTTTTATGAGTAAATATGGGCACACATTAACATACCATTAAAAAAATATTAGTAAATTAATAACACATCATCATCATTTAAGCCTTATCCCAACTATTTGGGGTCCACTACACTATTCATGTTCCGTCATTCCGCTCTATATTGTGACTCTGCCATCCACAATACCCATAGTCTAATCGTAAGTCACAATAACTGTCCTCATTACTTTCATTTATGTCATTTGAGATCTTCCCCTTATCTTTTTAGAGCCTTTCTAGAGCCTTTCACTTTAACCAAATCATCCTTCCCGACCCTCATTTTCTCTCCAAATGGAGCTATACCCCCTAAGCTTTCTTGAATGTATTCATTATGAATTCTATCATTCCTTGTCTTGTCACTCATCCATCCCAACATCATCATCTGGACTACACTCATTCTATGGATATATTATTTCGTGACCACTCAATATTGCGTTAACTTTCCTATAGAATTTTTTTTTTAGTTTCATTAGTATGCGACGATCACATAAGACTCCTGAAGTACATCTTCACAAAGTATACCCAACTCTAATTCTATAAGCAACACCTTCTTTAATCTCTCATTTCTCATGGATTATCGATCCAACATATAAAAAAATGATATCTTTTAGATACTTATTGGCCCTCGATATTAACTAATTCCTTATTTCTACTCTTATTATTATTAAATCTATATTTCACATATTATGTCTTAGTCCTACTAATTTTCAAACCTTTAGATTCTAAAGCAGCCCTTTAAATTTATAACTTTGCATTTACATCCTCTCTAATCTCTTCAATTTGAACTATGCCATCCGCAAACAACATATACCATAAGACCTCATCATATAAATACCTAGTTAACTCGTTCATAACCAAAGCAGATAGATATGAGCCTGTTTACACTGACCCCTATAAATGCCAACTAACTTATCTTGCAGATGCTTAGTTAGTGTTGATCCCTGATGTAGACTTACTATTACTGAAAACTCACTTATTTCTCTCCTATTTGTCCTCACATTAGTGAGTACTCTCTTGTTTGTATCCTTTACCATATCTATAGTAAGTTATAATATATTAAAAGGAGAGTTTTCCTGCACTTGTAACTACTGCAATATTAATCAAGGGAAAGCTTTCCCTACCGCATAGAAGTTCTATCCTTCCCCTTATCTAACCGTCTATTCTGAATGGAAGGCTAATATTTCCCCAATCACAATGTCATGTCTCTACACTATTTTATTTTTAATTCTTTTTTATAATCTATTTTGACACCAAATTTTGGACGTCTATTCCTCTATTAAATTCACACTAGCGAGAAATATAAAAAGAAAAATATTTTCAATAAAATAAAATGACTAAAATATCCCTAAAAGCTTAAAGGGGTATTTTGGTTATTATATTTTATCGAAATTTTATTTTTAATATTTTTATAGGTGCGCCCCAATGAGAAGATGGCACGTACTAAATTTCATATTCATACAATTTGTATAAAAAATAAAATACTTTGAGACGTCGGATGTAAGATCAAACGGTGAATGACTATCTTGATCAAAATTGGACTGCTGGATGGTAGGGGGAGGATATAACTTCTATACTGTAGGGGAAGCTTAGAAACTTTTCCCATTAATCAAATCGATGGAAAGATTAGTTATTGGATATGCCTCCATCGAACTTACTACTTGGTTCTAGGGGTGTTCAACGGGGGCTTTCTATTTTGAGGATATGGGCAT